TATTCTTTTTTTCTAATGTTCAGGATTTGTGCAAAGCGAAGATACATGAGTAGTTAATGCAAGTGTAAAATGGGCGATTCGTGTGCAAATTTCACAAGATATCATCAACTTCTTACGGACTATCGCTTTCGATCATTTTGATACATGGGTATGTGTACTCTTTCTTTCTTTTCTTTTCTCTCTCTCTCTCTCTTCTTCTCTCTCTCTCTCTCACTCTCTCTTTCTCTTTCCCCTCCCCCCCCCTCCCCTCTTTCTCTCTTTCTTTCTCTCTCTCTCTCTCACTCTCTCTCTCTCTCTCTCTCTTTCCATTTCTCTTTCATTTTCTTTTCCTCAATCTCCATCTTTCTCTTTATCGCTCTTTCCCCCACTTCCCCTCTCGCCCTCCCTCCCTCTGTCCCTCCATCCCTCTCTCCCTATCCTTCTCCCTTTCCCTCTCTCTCTCCTTCTCCCTCTCCCCTCTCTTTCTCTATCTATTTAGCTATCTATCTACCCATCTATGTATACGTATATCTTTTTCTGTTTCTCTGTCCATCTGTCTATATCTGTATCTATATTTATATATCTGTCTATCAATCTATCTATCTATCCATGTATATGTATATATACACACATACACATATGCTAATTTGTTCTACGAATATGCAATGTATAAGATGATCCCTGGAATGAGCGAAGATCACAGTAGATCGAGGATTATTTATAGCACTCACGCACGCACGCACAAACACAGACATGCGCACATGAATATATAAATATATATATAGATCCTCAATGGGCTTTTAAACTATACTAAGAAAGGTAGAAATTCAAGTCAAAGCTGAGTCGAAGAGCGAAATGGCAGGTGTTGGTGCAGGGTTCATTATGGTTGTTAATTAAAAAGAAAAAATAGTGTTAAGAGATCGTAAACACTCAAGGTCACACGCGAGACGGTACGAGGTCAGAGGTCAGGAGTCAGAGGCCAATCATGGGAAAATAAAAAGTGAAGAGTGAAGATCAATCGCTATTATTTTGTTCTCTAATTATGATTTTTTAAAAATCGGATATAAATCCAGTGGAAACCAGTTCGAGCCGATTTTGGTTTTCGAAGTAAAATACTTGTGTTGTTTCGGCCGTAGCGTAGATTTCCCGTAATTGAAATACAGAATAAACAAACAAAAAATAAATAAACGAATAAAAGAATTAATAAATAGAAGGAACGCAGAATGCACGGAAATAAACAGGCACAATCAATTCATAATTCCTTTTTATTTCGGCCATCAAAAGAAATTCGTTTTTGCAATGTCGGTTTAAACTGGTTCGGGCTAAAATTTCGTGCGATTTAAATGTAAGGGAGAGAAAAAAAAGGAAAAATGGGGGAGCATGAAGAAAAGAGAAAAATGGGGGAAAGAGAAGAAGGAGGAGGAGGAGAAGAAGAAGAAGAAGAAGAAGAAGAAGAAGAAGAAGAAGAAGAAGAAGAAGAAGAAGAAGAAGAAGAAGAAGAAGAAGAA